GATGAGCAAAGCAAGAATATGGGGAGGACCCAGCGAGGACCCTAGAGCCCTGGGTTTACAGATAGCAATGTCGGGAGACAGTGCAGAAACGGAAGGTATTGAGGGGGAGTAATGAGGAATGCTACTGTCCCATCTGCAGTGGGCGCTGGTGGTGTTTGAGCAAGGGCTGACTTGAAGGAACGCAGCAGTTAGGGATGGTATATTGGGGGTGTGTGTTACACACAGGGGTTGCAGGCTTTGGGGTAAAAATCTACTGAGTTGAGAGGAATGGACCAGAAACTGTTGTAATTCAGAATCTAGATGCCTAGACCTTGGACTAAGGTATATGTGGGGATATGGGAGGAGAGTTTTGGCAATAGATATATGAAATATTAAAAAAGATTCCATGGAGTTGGGTATGGTGGTACATGCCTGTAATCCCAACATCCAGGAAGTGGATGAGGGGGGTCAGGGGTTCAAATAGCAACGTTCTTGCTAGCTTGGGCTACATGAGGCTCTCCCTGTCTCTAAACCAAAACAGCGGGAGTCGGAGTCTGAAGGCGTAAGTCATGAACAATGCCACACCAGTTTGGAGTTATGATTAATAGGGTGGTATTTATTTAAAGGGGAAAAAACTTACAGATTACCGTCCCAGACAACAGCCCTCTGCGCAACCAGGAAGGGAGTCTAGTCACCGGCGGAGCAGGAAGTGAAGAGAGCGAGCAGAGGAAGTAGCCGGTTTTTTTTTTTAAAGGGAGAGAAACCACGCCCCAATGGGCTGGTATCTCAGCAACTATTGGTTGGAGAGAAATTGCCAAGCCTAAATGACCAAGTGGTACCAATATGCTTTGTAGATGAGTACATTCATCCACAACGACCATCAAGCAGGAGAAGTGGAGGGGAATCAATGGATTCCGTGTAGCTCCTGTCTTCTCTCACTTTCGGCTCTTCTAGGAAAGGGTTTCAGAGCTGCCAGAGATAGAGCACAGGGCTTAGAGTGTAGCTCGGTGGAAGAACACTTTCTACCATTTGCGAAAGCAAGGGTGTGTGTGCAAAAATCAGCTATGGAGGCGGCAAACAGACAGACGAAATGATACACAGCAAAGACCACTCCCTTACGAGCTTGCTTCGGGCTTTGTTCTTTATTCATCTTCTCCGGAATTCTCAAACTAGCTCTGACAGGCATGCCAGGCCTAGGGGTTCAGGGGGACTCGGCTCTCTCTAACACTCCAGGGCTCCTGGATCCAGGGCACCAAGTAGACAGGTAGACAGATGGGCCGAAGGAAATCCTACTGGGGACCAAGGTCTAGGATTGGGCTAGGGATCCCCCTGTGCTCTGTCTGTCAGAAAACTGAGCGAGAACAAGGACCTCTGTTGTGACTTTGGGCCAAGAAGAGATTTGGGGGTACAGGTGGGGGGATTTATTGCTGACTGTGCAGAGTGTGACAGGACTGGGAGGTACCAGAGACGGGTGGATAGAGCCGTGGGGACAGGTCAGGGCTTGAATCCCGAAGCTTCGAGTCACCTGCCAGGGACGGTGATTTGAGATCACGGTTCAAGTTCGTTCTTCTTTCTAGTAAAGTTTACATTGGTTCCTCTCAAACAAATGTATATTCTTATCTCAGCCACACTAGGAAAATGAGCTAGCAGATGAATGCAGAGGGCTGGGGGAACATTTTATAACTGATCAAATTATGGCTATAGACACTTGATTCAGAGGAAGAAATGTTTTATTTTCTTTAAGAACAACAGAACTGGGGGTTATATTTTTGGGTCACAAGGGCTTTCTCTTGTGTTCTAGGCCAGTTTTCTTTTCTGTCATTAATTAATAACTATAGATTTTAGACCAGAATGACTCTGATTTCTTTTTTTAAAATATTTATTTATTATGTATACAATAGTCTGTCTCCTTGTATGTCTGCAAGCCAGAAGAGGGCACCAGACCTCATTACAGATGGTTGTGAGCCACCATGTGGTTGCTGGAAATTGAACTCAGGATCTTTGGAAGAGCAGGCAGTGCTCTTAACCACTAAGCCATCTCTCTAGCCCCCTGATTCTGATTTCTTTCAGTGTTTAATTTTAATTTTATCTTCTGAGCCTTGAAGGCTGAGTGCTGATCAAGTTTATTCATTCACAGAGCAGTGTGATAATTCTGGGACTGTGGGGTTGAGAGAAACACCTCAGCCCTCAATATCCCAAGGAGGAAGAAAAGTAGGCCCTAGAAAATGGTAAAGGGCCATGGGGGGGGAGAGCCTAGAGGTTGTTCCCAGTGTAGGAGGAGGGAGACACGGTAGTTCAGATGGTTATCTGCCTCAAACGTGGAGGTGATGCCTTCAGAGGAGGCTAGCTCTCCAATAACCATCTAATAGGCAATAACAATCTGTCTAAAAGTCAGAGCCCTTGTGAATGGAGTTAGTGCCCTTCTCAAAGAGATTGGAGAGATTCTCAAGTAGTGGAGGGGGCCTGTTTTACACAGTACTGAGGATCTGAGTTCTTTCTCAATGTCATATAACCCCTCAATCATCTGAGCTACATTCCCAGGATGAGACCTACTTCTTATATCTTGGTTGTGAGCCTAGCCTTTACCGACTGAGCCACCCTCCAGGCTGAGACCTACTTCTCATACGGTATGTTAGGTGGCTCTTGGTAGGAAGCTTCAGTCCCTTGCCAAGGACAGCTTCAGTGGTTTCCAAGGGCAGCAAGATGGAAGGAAGCCACTGTATCCCTGAGGTATCCTGCAATATCTCAACCTTTTCTATTCATTGGTTGCTGCATCCATCCCACAAGGGGGGAACAATTAGACTCCTTCAGTGAGACAGCAGTGATGGAGATTGTGGGCCTGTGTGAAAGCCAGTGCCCTAAAGAACAGAGCATTTGTGGGTTAGGGTCTGTGTTGAAAGGAGAACGGGGTGGCCCTTTGTTTGTCCCGGCCGCCCAGCTAGCTTACACCCGAAATAATCACACAGAAACTGTATTTATTTAAACACTGCCTGGCCCATTAGCTCTAACTTCTTATTGGCTAACTCTAACATATTAGTATAACCCATCTCCATTAATGTGTGTTGCCATGTGACTATGGCTTACTGGCAAGAGTCTAACCAGTGTCTGTCTCAGGCAGGAGAACCATGGCGTCTCTATGGTAGGTCTCCCACTCTGGCTTTCTTCCCAGCATTCAGTTCTGTCTACCCCGCCTACCTAAGTACTGCCCTATCAAAAGGCCAAGGCAGTTTCTTTATTCAACCAATGAAAGCAACACATAGACAGAAGAACCTCCTACACGAGGTCTGAGATGTCATAATGGGAGGTAGAGTATGACCTTCCGAAGACACCCAAGGACTCTGTTGCATTTTGTAGCTAATTGTTGGCTACAGTGAGAACATTCTGGGTTATCTAGATGGGCTCAATGTAATCATGAAAATCTTTAAGAGAAAGTCAGAGACATGTCAGTGTGATATAGCTTAAGGCCCCACTGGCTGTAGCTGGCTTTGAGGAAGGGAGGCAGGCACTGGCTAAGAAACAGAGGCAGCCATTGAGGCTGGGGAAGGCAAGGACAGATTCTCCCCCAAAGCCCCCAGCAGTAATGTAAGTCCTCTGACACCTTGTCATTAGCAAAGCAAGAGCCGTTTCTTGTTGCTCCAAGTTGTTCTGTTAACAGTGGAGATAGAAACAAGGACAGGGCTAGCCCCATCTGTCTCCTGTTTGCCTCCACTCGCTGTGCTTGGCTATTGTTTTAAAATGTGCATCTGAAACACCCAATGCGTTTGTATTGTTACCATTACGAACTTGACTAATTACACTGTCTAAAAGTAGAGGCAGCCAACAAGAAGATATGGAAGAATCGGCGTGCAATGAATACAGAGCCCTGTCAAACCAAAGCCGAAGAGTCATACCTGTGGTGGGAGAGTCTCTAAGACACTGTTTTCTCTACATTTCTTCCCTCTCATTTAAACTAGCAGTCAGTTTTATCATCCTGCACTTAGGGAATCGAGGTAGGCATGGGAGAGGCTGGTGGTTTCTGACTCATCTCTAATTTTTCTTGTTTTTTGTGGGTTTTTTATTTGTTTATTTTAGATAGTGTCTCACTGCATCCCTCTGGCTAGCCTAGATCTCGCTCTGTAGACCAGACTGACCTTGAACTCATAGAGATCTGCCTTGCCTGCCTCTGCCTCACAGTGCTAGAATTAAAGACTAGCACCATTCACAGCTCATCTCCAACTTGGAAAAGGTCTTTTGAAGGGACAAGGGACATTGCTCCTCTGCAAAGGCAGAAAGTAGGTGAACCTCACCAGAGTCCAAGAAAGGCTATGGTGATATTTTGTTTGTGCTCTAACAGATGAAGCTTGCCTGAAGATCAGAGGCCAGTGCTAGCTACTAGTTAACCAGAGGCCAGGCAGTGGTGGCACACACCTCTAATTCCAGCATTTGGGAGGAGGACGTAGGAGGATCAAGAGTTCAAGCTCACATTGGGCTACCTGAGATTTAACCAGTCACAAAGAAAAACAGAGCTCACACCTTTTATCCCAGCACTAGGGAGATAGAGACAGGTAGCGATATGGCTGGGAGGAGAGAGGAACATAAGGTGGGAGAAGACAGGAGCTCACCCCTTCTGTCTGAGGGTTTTGTATAGGTAAGAACTCTTAGTGACTGCCTGATCTGCTTTTCTGATCTTTCAGCTTTCACCCACTAATATCTGACTCTGGGTTTTTATTATTAAGACCAATTAGAATTCGTGACAAGGGCTATCACAGTCTACTTAGTCATAAGACCTTAGAAGGGAACAGACTTGAGGCTCAGAGGTTTCCAGAGTTACCTCTGACATCCAGGTCATATAGCAGGGGTGCAGGATGTAGAGGATAGGTAGGCAGGGCAGTGGGCATATGTCTTGAGTCTACACAGACTGGGGCTTGATGTCTTTCGGCCATCTTGGAGCTCTGACCTGGGACTTTTAGGGCCCAGTGAAGTGGAGAGAGACAAGACTGAGATCACTCAGATAGAATGTCCCACTGGCCAACAGGGAAAGGAAGAGGAACTGGGGTCCGAAATTTGTTGAACCAAAAAGTGATGCTCTGGGCACCCAAATGTTGAGCCAGTACTCAAAAGGGTAACAACCTTTGGACTTCAAATGAAAGTCTTTAATCTCCAGGTGGAAGCCTGGGTGGGGTGAGGATGGGGTGTAAGAGGGCAGAAAACCCTGCCTTGCAGCTCAGAGAGGATGAGCCGGAGCTGCTGGTGGGCTCCATGACTGGACTAGGTGGGAAGCACATACTCCATCTCATCAGGGTTGAAGTACAAATAAATCAGAAAGCAGCTCCAGATGACAAAGGTGAAAAGGGCGCCCAGGCATGGTGTGAAGGTCTCCTGCTAGGAGGGAGAAAGGTGGGGGACCTGGGGCCAGGCTGAGGCTGCCGCGGAAGGGGTACCCTCCCCACCAAGGGAGCCTGTGGACAGCAACCTTAGGGTCGGCCACCCAAATCCTCTCTCCTGGTGCCACATCCTCTATGTCTGGGTGATTATGCCGGGTGGGGAACCCCGCTCGCAGTCCCTAGTCCCTGTACACCCACAGGTGAGGCTGGCTGCAAAAGGAAGCTGAAGCTCACTCCTTTGGGATAACCAGAGTCCAACTGAGAAGGCCCTTCTCGCATGGCTCTACCTACCCCCGATGGCAGTTGTTCTTTAGGGCACACAACAAACATTTCTCCTGTAGAGGGGACAGAAACGGCACACAAATGATCATTTTTCCCTGGTCCAAGTTGGCCAGCCTGCTGGGCACCTCACCAGGCTTTGCTATAGAGGATAGAGTGACTGAGCAGAACTCGGAGCAGGCACGTCTAGGGGCTGACTGCACAACTGTGCCTTGGGTCTCACCGCAGCCTCGAAGGCAGGCAGCTAAGGAAGGTTTCCAGACTAGGGGATTCATCCAAGGACTGGGGTAGGGTGAGGCAGAAGCTCTGGGGTTGGGGGAGGAGAGGGTCAGGGCAGGAGCAGCCCGGGGCTGTAGACAGTGCTGAGGGCACACAGGAATTCACTTACGCAGCAACTCTGACACGAATGAAGGGGATCCGGTGGATTAGTCTTTGTTTTTTGTGACATCGTCTTATCGCTAGTCAATGATACTCCGTCAGGTTCTTCCATTTGCTTGGGTCTGAGCTGGGGATCTTTGTCCATCTTTCCTATCTGCCCGAGTTCCTGCTGCTCCTTTGGTTGTTTTTGAAGGGGACTGGTGGGTCAGGAGTGGGCAGAGATTTGGGGAGACTGTTTCTACCTGCACACGGGTGCACGGAAGGCCTTGACTTCCAGCCATTGTAATGGTGGAGCCAAGGCAGTTCCTTGAGGAGTGCATTCTCTGAGCCCCCAGGGTACTGAGCAAAGAGGAGGGAGGAGGTGGCACTTACAATTTGTTGTTCTTCTGTATAGTCATTAAAACATCCATCTTTTCATCCATATCCTTCTGCATTTCCTTCGAGAGAGAACCCAAGACTAGAATTCTCCTTCTGAAGAGCTTAGAGTTCCCCTCCTCCCTCTCTCTCTGCTAACTCCTCCTGTCTTATACTTCAAGAATCCTCACCAGCCTTGGCTGAGGGGAATGGGGCATGTCCCTGACGGTCACCTTCCACCCCAGCTCCACAGTGACACCAGAGCACAGGCGGAGGCAGAAGGCTTACCATGGCCACTAGGTGAGCCAGAGGCCAGGAGCTCCTTCTGCCTGACCTCGGGGATGAGGCTTTGAGTTGATGCCCGTGAAACAGCACAGCTAAGAAAACATGCTGTAACCTCAGAGATTCTGCCTCCAGTCTTTGAACCCTTGTGTGTGTGTGTGTGTGTGTGTGTGTGCATGCCCTCATGCACGCACACGCATGCACACACATGCGTGCATGTGACAACACAGTTCTAGTACAAAAAATAAAACAAGTGAAAGGAAGTAAAATGAGGGCCAGATACACGGCTCAGTGGTTCAGAGAACACTGCTCCTGCAGGGGACATGAGTGTTTGGTTCCCAGCACCCACATCAGACAGCTTGCACCCAGCTTTTAACTCCAGCTCCAGAGGATCCAATACATCTGGTCACCTCGTGCATCCACCCCCACACCCCACAAACACATGCATGGATTCACACACATGCACGTGCACACAAACATACACTTACACATACACACACACTAATTTAAAATAATGAAAACAAATCTTAAAAATGAAATAGAAGACAGTTGCTAAAACAACATGGCTCATTTATTACCCACTGAGAACTAAAAGAGAAAAAACAATGGTTTAAAATTAAAAGAGAATGGATTGGTGGTCATAAAAACTATTTTCTCCAGTGAAAGTGTTTCTAATACAGAAAGATTCTGAGCCAGTTCAATCGACAGAAAGCTGACAAAGCAATCACAGCCTTGGTGGGGAGGGGGTGGTTTCTGAAGACAGCTGTGTCGATGGTTGTAAATGTCAGAATACACGGGAAGAGTATTAAAATCCCCTTAGGGCCAAACACGCCCCTTGGGCTGAGCACACGGCGCCAGCCTCTCCTTCCCCGTCTAAATCAGCTCCGCTTGCCCACTGTGCTCGACGACTTCTCCACTGCCTTGTCCACCCAGATAGACACTCTGGGCTCGCTATGGACACTCACCTAAGACTCCGTTATCCCGAATCTGTCACCAAGAACCACCAAGTCGCCTTCCACTCTCCCCTCTTCCCTGCCCCCTCCTCTTGTCCTCTCTCTACCACAGCAGGAGGCAATTGCAGATCTTCCCCACCTGCTCTGCCTCCCAGGCCACCTTGCCTGCAGCTGCTCCTTGTGTGTTAAGAAGCCCCAGAGACTGCTTGCTGCTTAGAGAGGCAAGTCCCAACTTGTCAGCTGTTTCTCAAAGCCCATCAGTATCCACGGTGTGCCCATGCAGTTTTATTTCTGTTTCCCCCAGATGACCTCACTCCATGGCTTGTCTCCCCCATGACTGGGAAACACAGCCATCCTCCTGCTGTGCCCAAGCTGTTCCCTGCCTGAAATAGCTTTCTTTGTGCCTCTCCATACCCAGAGTGGCCACTAATAAAATGCTTATGGTGGTTGCATGTTAATATAGAAATAGTACATGCCCTTTGCAAAAAAAAAAAAAAAAAAAAAAAGCCGGATAAAGCAGGAGAATATTTAAAAACTGAATCACAAGACTGCTATCTGCCTTTTTGGTGAATCTATTTTTCAATCCTTTTCCTATATATTTATATTAAGCATTTTTATAAGCCCTAATACATGGAGAAACTATAATTTAGTTACTTCTCTATTGTTGGAAATTGTGGCTATCCCCAAATGTTTGCTATTATAAATAATTCTGAAATGAAAATAGTTTATGCTCAGTCATGTTGACAGTTTAATATTCTCATGGGATAAATCTTGAGAATGCCTATCTTCTAATATTCCGATTTTGTATGAATTAGTACTCTCATTGTAATGAGCCCAATATTTGGGTGTGACAGGTACATTACTTAAAGATAGATGCTGTGTGGTGTGTGTGTGCCTGGGTGTGTGCACTTGAGTCCAGCTGCCTTCCAGGGACAGAGGCATCAGATCCCCTGGAGCTGGAATTATGGGAAGTTGTGACCCCCCCATTGTGGGTGCTGGGAACTAAACTGGGGTCCACCGCAGGAGCAGCACACTCTCTGAGCTGCTCAGTTGTCTCTTGGGCCCCAACTTTGTGTTGTTTAGCTGCACAGTTGCACTGCTGTAAAGCCGCTGTGCTCTCTGTCTTCGTCTGCTCTCTCTGGCCTGTCCATCATGTCCTTGCCCATTTTGTCATTTATTTCCGATTGTTTTGTGTGAGATCTATACTTTATGGATTATAAACCCTTTGTCCCTTATCACAGTTATGGAAAATGATTTCCTCAAACTGCTTTTAAATTCTGCATATGGCATTTTTCCATCTTAATTCTTTTTTAAAACATTCATATAGGCAAATACATCAATACTTTGAAATTTAGCCATTATATTTATAACTTTTCCTTACTGGCTTTTATTCCTCAAGTTCATGTTATAGACCACTTCAGCTTACAGAGCTAATGAACTGGTTTTTCCTCACAGAGTCGAACAATGGTCTTCTATTATTACATAACCCTTTTCTTCTGACATTTAAAACCACCTTTTATCACAGGGCTGGATCCAGTTCAGTGGTTGAGAGGCTGCCTAGCAATGTGAGACCCCGGGATCCAATCCCTAGTACCCCCAAAATCACCTTTATCAAATTTAAAACTTGATGGACATATGGTTCTCAGCCTTAAGTGTCTACTAGAACCCCATGGGGAAATTTAGAAGTCACTGGGGCTGGGCCCTCACTCGCAAAGATTCTGGCTTAGTTTCTCTGAGGGAAGCCTTGGTTTAAGGGGCCAATGTGACAGACCTCTCTGATCTCATCCACCTGAGGCTGATGAATGTTGTTCAAGGGTTTAGGACCCGATTTGCAGCTAAAGGCACACATCCAGATGCCTTGGGTAGAAGCCAAGCACGGGAGGTGGCCTACAGTTGTAGCACTCGGGGAGAGGCAGGATCAGTCAAAAGCCGGAGGCCAATGTGTGTCACAGAAACTGTCTCAATACATACATAACATATATAAACACATATATACATTTTAAAATCATTTATAGCACTTAAGCAACTCCACTTTGAAATAGTTATTATTCAGTCTTCGGTCTATATGGAGTCTGGGTGTTTGGATGTTTAATAGGCTCCCGGGGGATTCTCAGGACATCCATCCCTGGCAAAGGAGCCCTCATATTCCTGCTTATTATTAATATTTCCCTGCTTATTATTAACTACCCCGGTTTGATAACTGTGGGGTTATCATGAATTTAACCCGGCAATCCTAGTGTCCCTTAGGAGCCTTGGAAACACTCTAGGCATTGCCTTTTGCCTACTTAAGCATCTGCATCGGTGATTCTCAAGCTCTGAGTCAGCCGGACCCAGGCCCTAGCTGAGTATGAACCTGGGACTTGTCCCAAGTCGTTCTGAAACAGACGAATGTTTGCGAACCGCTGCTCTGTGGTCCCAGTTATCCGTCTTGTTTTCTGAGCCAAAAGGGAATCATGCTGGGCCTTCAGTTACATTCACATCAAGCTTGCGACATAATCTTACCAAGTCTAAGGCCCAGATTCTCTCCAAGGATTCCGCTCCTAACTTGCTCTCCCTACCTCTAAACCTCTGATTAACAGACGGCCTGCAAGTCTGTCTAGTGGGTGGTAGGGGCCTCAAGAGCAGGGGCCTGCCGTCTCTTCCGTCACTTCCCATGTGACCCACGGAAGGCATACAGTGAAAGCTTACCTTCATAATTTCCACAAATTCATGAAGCTTATCAAAATCTTTGTCCATTATATCCTTTATCTAGTGAGGAAGAAAAGTGCGATTTAACAAGGCCTCAAGTGTAATCCTGAAGCCAGTCACAGGGTCTTCTGGGCATTTTGAGTAAAGGGTGGTGGCTGGATCGTGGGAATGGATGGCTAATAGTTACCCTACATAAGCCCTTTCTTCCTGAGAAGTCTACAAAGGGTCTAGGGTACAGGTACCACTACCAGGTCATCCCTAGCAACAGCTTTGACATGTGGGGCTCAGACCATAATTACTCCTCCTTGCTTAGTCCCCCTGTTCCCTAAGTGAGCTATAAAGTGATTGTATCCTAGAAACAAGAGACCTCTGTCTGCACAGCCTCCTCTGGGAAGATGCATGAGGGGGATACAGTTGATCTGTGACTGTCGTCAAATTCCTAGTCAGCTCCTCTTTACACTTATTGCTGAGGTTAACATCACCCCCAACTTTAATACATTAGGGAATTCTTAATCGCTTGAAATGGGCTTAGAGGTATGGTATAAGTAAGAAATTAATGTTCTATGCTGCCCAGGGTTGGAACGCTGTAGGAGACCAGGTGAGAGTCAGTTTGTTGCTTCACCCATGCAGTTCCTGACTTCCTTGACTCGTCAGGGTTTCCCTCAAAGTCCCACTTTCCTTTCTTGCTGAAACCTTATTGTGTCACCTGCTTTATCTCTTCCATCTTTTCCTTGAGTTCTTCTCTCACCTCCCTGAGTTCATTCTGAGGAAATACATGTGAGAGAAACACATTGGAGACATCTCGCAACAGTCAACAAAGGCAGGTCCATGGGGCTCTACCAAACAGGAAAGGAAAGGGCGGTGTTGGGACTGCAGGGGACACACTGAAAAGAGCGCAGCTTCGGAAGGTCTGCCCCAAACCCCTGGCCTAACTCTGAAAAAGGCAGATGAGTAGAGAGTTAGGATCCGTCAGTAAAATAAATCCTCAAAACTGTCAGGATCCAGTAAGATAAATGTTGAAAAAGTAATCCACACTAAAGAGACATGATGGGGCTGGAGATGTCCTAACTGTTGGGAAGGCTTGCTGCTCTTCCAGAGGACAGGCGCTCCATTCCCAACATCCACATCTGGAAGTTCATAACTGCTTCTGACTCCAGCTGCATGGGGGTCTGAGGCCCTCTCCTGGCCTCTGCAGGCACAGACAGACAGACAGACACACATAGGCAGACACACACAAACAGACACACAGGCAGATACACACACACAGACACACAGGCAGACACACACACACACACACACACACACACACACACACAGAACGGCCAGGGTTGTGGGGGAGGGGGTACTAGAAGAAACACTTGTCAGGGACCAGATCCCCAGGCCAAATGATTTTGCTGTTAGTAATGGGACAGCTGGTGACATCAATATAAGGGTTTTGTTAATGACTCGATTTTGATAATTATACACACACACACAAACAAACAAATAAAAAAACCATAAGAGAACATGGTCCTTTTTAGGAAGTACATATTAAAGATCTGGCTAAGCTTAACTCTGAAATGGTTCAGAGAGTGTCCATGGTCAGTCATTCTGGGTATCCATGGAGGATTGGAACAGGACCCTGTGATGAAGGTCGAGGGAAGAACCCCGGAAAGGGACATACAACCAAGATGCCCACCCATTATCCAGGAAAGGGGGGACCAGGAAGTACCCACAACAGTTCCTCAGTGAGAGAAACTACAGGAACCCTGCAGATATCTAAATTTGCTAACGCTGACACCCCTACATCCTGTGGACACCCCCCAAAGACTTTGAACCGTTCCTGGACCTCCTTGAATACACATGTGGCGTAAACACTATGCAAACGATTACTACTGTCTTGTTTTGGAAGCAATGGAAAAATGTCTGTAGTGCTTTATCAAATCTCTTTAATCCCAGATTGGCCGAATTAAAGGCATGGAGCCTATAGATATGCAGGGTGATGTTTGTGTGTGTGTGTGTGTGTGTGTGTGTGCGTGTGTGTACACTGGTGTGTGCATTGTGTAGAAAAGGAGACAGACAGCATCAGAGACTAAAGCAACAGTGGTGAGTCGCCAGCATTTAGGAATCTGGGTGAAATGTGTGTTAGAATTCACTGTGCCATTCTCTGTAACGCCTAGGTAAGTCAAATTGTTTCAAAGTAACAGATTAAAAATAAAAGACCAGGACTTAGTGAAGTTAGCTGGCTGGCCACCCCTTTCCCAGGTGATCTGTACCCTGGCCACCTAGGCCCAGACACTGACCTTCAGCTCCTGGGTCATCCCTTTTTTGATGAATAGCCCTTCTTGTTTAAGTCCTTTGTGATCATTTACCTGTGGATTGAAACAGAAACTTAGACATAAACTGTTGTTTATGTCTGGTCACTTGTGAAGGCCTATGAAAACAAGGACCTTATCTTTCTTGTGTCCCCTAGCACCTAGGATAGGTTCTTGGCACCAAGAATAAGAAATGGCCCTTGTCTCCAATGACCTCCCATGGATCTCAGGCCTGACTGCAGGCAGAGCTTCAAAACAGCTTACTTGTGTCAGTTCCAAGCAAATTTCCTTGTAGTTCTTTTTCTGCAGAGAGAGAAGGTCATGGTGTAGTTAGCCGCTTGTCAGGATTGGGGGAAGATAACAGTCAGTCAGTCCTCACGAGAGCCCCCCAGCAACCTCGCGCTAGCTGCAGTTGAGTATAGGCTCACATGGTCCCACCACGATGTCTGCTTCTGGCCACAGTGCCTGGTCATGCTATTCGTTTCTAAGGAGTGTACGTGTGTCTAACCCGCGGATAGAGAAAGCCCCTTTGAACAACTTTTAGGAAGCCCCCAAAGGCTGTGTCAAGAATGGCTCAGGCTCTAACCTGCCCTCTCTTTCAGCCATACCAACGAGGGCACGTTACTCAGTGCCAGGGCCTCCATGTCCTCATCTATAAAGTATCTGTCAAGGTTATTTTGAGCCTTAGACGGGTCAGTTAGATTCAGGCCTTGGCTGGGTCCTGGACTGGGAAGGGCCTTGAAGACCACTGGACCTTATCCGGAGACGTCACAGACCCGTTCCTTCCCACCCCAAGGCTGGGCACCAATTTACAACTACGCCAGGCTGAGGCTACTTTGGGCTCTAAACAAAGAAAGAAAATTGGAAGGTTCACAGGGTCGTTTCCAATATCTCCTCTGTCCTGCCTTCATCTGGCAGGAGCTCACAGAGGCCCCCGCATGCCTGGTGAGATTCTTCCTTTACCGGGTTGGTTTTCTTCAGTTCTTCCCTGTTGGCTGACATGATGGAAGAGCCAGGGTGTTCTTCAACTTCCCAACCTCCCCACAACAGCCCCCTGGGACCGAGCCACTGTCCTACGCAACTTACAGGCTTAGGCAATGGTAGGGAGACCACCTCTTTGTGTGCGGAACAGCTGAGGTCACAATGCCAGGACTCATATGCTGGCCTGGAGTGTCACCAGCTTCGGATCTGCCTACTGTTGCTCCTGAGACCGAAGGTTCTTAAGGTCTTACCATAAGGCCTTAAGCCTGGGGCTGCTGAGGACCTCAGCCAGTTATTTGAAAGCTCAGACATCTTGTGAGAAGCCAAGCCTTCGCTCCTGATGCAGGAGGCCTCACCCACTGACCAGGAGAATCTGTCCCAGATGGCCGGCTTCTTGCTGGCACTCATTGCTTCACTAATACCCCCACACCCACCTCTACGCCATCTCTTTTCTTGGCTCTTTTATCTCACCAGAGGAGGGTTGGGACAAGAAGGAATACTGAATAGTTCTTAAGACAAGAAGATTCGTGTGTGTGTGTGTGTGTAATGCAAGAGGTAATTCTGAGGTTAACTGTTAATTTGTGTTTGTTCAACATGGCGACCTGGAGGCACATGGTTTCTCCTGGGGCCTAACGTGACTTAGAATCTGAGTTGGGGAACCTGATTTCTCTCTTCCTCCGTGGGGATTCCCTGTCCTCCTCCTCTGATTTTAAGGGCTACTAGCTGGCACAGAAAAGGCCAGCTTGAGCATTCTGAGGACAGGTAGCCCAGTAGTAGGGAAGTAACCAGGATATGTTAGGAGGTACACCAGGTACCTCCCACATACCCACCTGTTCTTTGTGTAGCTGCTGGGTCCTTCCCGGGTCAGCTTCCTCAAGAGCCACCTGCAGCCACTGTAGCTACACCTCCTAGGTGGCGATTTCCAATCCGCCCCTTCCCCAAGGAAAGCCTTGGATCTTGCTCCCCTCTACCAAAAGAGGACATTATGCTTCTCACTGGTCCAAGCAAGGGGAGGGGTGTGGGGCTGAGCTGTCCAGACCTCATTTCCCCACATGTAAATGAAAGAACCCTGGCTCCAGCTGACCGGTTTCAAAGCCTGTAACAGTGGACACGTCTTCTCTTCCAGGCCTGAGAGCTTCCGAACGCTGCAAGTAATGATCCCATTGCTCAGCAGGGCAGACATTACATGGCTGCCTCCTAGCCAAGCACACGTGGGCATACTGGACTACATGTCAAACAAGTAGACAGGAAATAATCACCCTCAGTAGGAACGGGATTTATAGTGAAAAACAAGCCAACTCCCCCCACACACACGCACAATGCTGTGCTTTTTACTTTCTCATGGTGCACCCAAACACACCATTGTTACTAGTATATCCTCGAAGAGCTGGGGAACCAGTTTATAAACCTAAATAAATTAGTTTCCTCTCCCTTCTCCACTTTCTCCTCTTCCTCCTCCTCATTATTTTTATTATTTATTTATTTGGCAGAGTCTCATTTTGTAGCCCAAACTGACCTGGACTTCGCTATTTTACCTTTCTGTTGCTGTGATAAGACACGACTACCAAGAGCAACTTCTGGAAGAGTTTATTTGGGCTTACAGCTCCAGAGTGAGTCGGCCACAGTGGGAAGGCATGGCAGCTAGAGCAGGAAGCCGAGAGCTCACATCTTCAAATGCAAACATAAAGAAGGGAAGTAGGTGAAATGGAGGTGGTGGAGGCTTTTAATCTCAAAGCCGGCGTACTTCCTCCAACAAGGCTGCACACCCAAATCTCCCCAAACAGCGCCAACAACTAGGGACCAAGTATTCAAATTCCTAAGACTATTTGGGCCATTTCTCATTCAAACAATCAGAACTATGTAGACCAGCTTGACCTTGAACTCATTCACGGCAGTCCTCAGGTCTCAGCCTCTCAAACTCTGGGACTACGGCCAAAGACACCACAACTGGACATACTGATAGTTTATAGCTATGAAAGATGAAGTTGAGGCAGGGTTTCACTGCTGGACGTCACTGCTGTAACTTGGGCCTCCTGTAGGCTGTCCTGACCCAAGAGATACCAGAAGCTCTTCCCCAGCACACCTTCAGAACAAGGCCCCCTGCGCCAGGACAGGATCATAAGCCCCACCCTCACCCATGCTCCACCAGGACTGGGAGACAATAGAATGTTCAGAACAGCAAGGAAGACACGCCAGTAGCATCTTTTCTCCAAGTCAGTGTAATTTTGAAGCTCTTTACAAAGGTCCCAGGCTGCCTTTGTTTCATGGAGATAATGTTGTGGGCAGAGGCTCAATGGAGACCTTAAAATGGCTGTTAGACTCTGAGTTTGGTCTCTTATGACTCCAGGACTGTATATTCTAGTGTCAGACTTCAGCCATTATCTACACAGAGCCCAGAGAATGAGAGAGAGTGTCCTGTGTGCCCAGGGGTCTGTTTGACTACAGGTATTCTAAAGCCTGTCAACGAGGATGGAGCATTTCATAAACATTCTCAGGATCCTGGCTATGGTCTCCATTCAGCATCCACATCTTGATGCCCCGCTGTACTTGGTGGCTCCCCTGGGCCAGAGAGACTGTGGTTCCCATCTTAGGGATCTCCCGACATACATTTGTTAGAGATTACATAGGGGTGATTCCTGTGTTGTCCTTCTTTGACTTACAGACACCCTTGAGAGCTCTACCCTGTGCAGCGTGAAGTCGTCTTTCATCACTGACCCTTGGGTTACTATGCAACTTTTGATCTTTCCTTTAAATAGTATACCAAAACAGCTACAGCTATAGTCTGCTCACACTGTTTCTGAGGGAAAAAAATTACTAAGTCTGTTGATGCTATCTGAATGGGTTCCTCTGTTTTAGGAATAAGCATGGTGTGCCCAAATGGTTGTAAAGCCCCAGCTATTTCCGTACAGCTGAGGAGGAGCGGAAAATCCCCGTGAAGGTGTCCTTGGGGATTGCCGCCTTTTCCTCATTTGTGCATTCACCGGGCCAAGGATGTTTGCCAGGTCTTCCAGACCCCAAGGGAACCAACACTCCTCCACAACCAATCACAACAACAGAACAGCCTACGATGAAGGACAACCAAAGAGTCACCAGCCACCAGAGCTCTCCCTGCCAGTGTGACTCTGGGGGCCTCCTGACTTAATGTTCTGTCTTGGGATGGGATCCAAGTCGAATGTGACATGCATTTCTGGCCTTCCAATCCAGCCCCTTCCTAGAAGGCTCACAGTTGCTGTCCTTGTTGCTGCTTCCTCTCAATCCGTGACAGTTTCAAATTCCCATTTGTCACTGAAATAACAGAAGTGAGTGGAACCACAGAATCTTTGGCCTGGGCCTTAAGGGACTGTGTCTCATGCGGTAGCTCATTGAAGATCCTAGGAGGGAGGGTTCCAGGTTTTGTCCTGGTAGCAGCCTTTGATACCTCTGCTCACATTGACATCTGTCGTTAAGTCCTTACCATCTCAAGGCTGAAGAATAGTCTAGAAGACTGAGTCTTATTCCCTTAGTGGGGGTTCTGGGACCTGGGCTGGGATGGAGAACATCTTTCTTAAAGCCGGGGCGGGGTCACGAGAGCTGAGTTAACGTTTGCTTGTGACTCCATACAGAGGACCTAATGGCAAATTCTAAGTGCCACTGTAGGGAGGGCCAAGGGAAGCGCGAGAAGGAGAGAGATCAGGTGCCAGCAGGAACACTCAGCCAGGAGGCTCTCCGGGTCCCCAGGCTGTACATGGGAGAGTCTGAGTGAAATAATTAGGTGTTTCCGACCACGCTTGCTCCTTGTTATATGACTGAGCTCCATGCAGGCAGTGGGGTTTTTCTTCTCTTGGCAGGGAGCGTGGGCTCACAAAGAGGCTGTCTGGTTTTCTGGAGCTTGACTTCAATAGATTCCAAATTTCATTTGTACTTAATGCCAAAATATGTTGCCGGTCTGATGTAGATCAGACTTAATGGAGCCAAAAAAATCATACATTCAAATCCACTTTGATGAACTGGAAATGAATTTGGCATCTGCTAGGCCCCCAGTCCCACCTGGATGCTGGAGCGCATGGAGAGCAGGTGCCGCTCGCTCTCAGCCTCAGCGGCAGCACAGTCAGCAGCTCTTCCCAGTAGCTCTGACCATCGCTGGAACTCCAGCTTCTGCTGCTGCCCTCCCCAAAGTCAAACCGGCCAAGGGTGTGTGCTTGCATGCACCTGCTAACAGTAGAGCCTTGGTAAGTCCTGCAAATGCAGGACCCACAGAGGCACTTCCTATGGAAGCTGCCGACTTCTGTCCGGTGATTGTTTTAGTTTAATTTCGGTTTCTGTGATAAAAAATATACTCCAACCTGAAGTGTGGTGGTTTGAATGAGAATGGCCCCCATAGGCTCATGTGCTTGAATATTTGGTCTCTAATTGGTGGAACTGTTTGGGAAAGATTAGAAGGCGTGGCCTTATTGGAGGAAGTGTATCACTGGGGATGGGCTTGATGGTGCCAAAAGTCTACACCAGGTCCAGTTAGTGCGCTCTCTCTCTCTCTCTCTCTCTCTCTCTCTCTCTCTCTCTCTCTCTCTCTCTCTCTCTCTCTCTCTCTCTCTCTCTCTCTCTCTCTCTCTCTCTCTCTCTCTCTCTCTCTCTCTCATTTATTGTCTCAACATTAAGCTTTCAGCTACTGCTCTAGTGCTATGTTGTCCTGTCTGCTGCCATGCCCCCTGCCATGGTGGTCAGGAACTCTAACCGTCCGGAACCATGAGCCTCCAAATTAAATGCTTTTTATAAATTTCCTTGGCTATGATGCTTTATCATAGCACTAGAAGAGTAATCACGACACAAAAAGCAACATGGGCAGGAGGAAAGGGCTTGCTTGGCTTATGGTTCCAGGTCACAGGTTGTCACTGAGGGAACTCAAGGCAGAAACCCAAAAGTAGCCCTGATTGTGATCCCATACAACATTACCTCCACCAGGAAACTCACTTCGCAGCCAAAAACATGTGGCAGGAACTGTGGAAGATGCCGTTTGCTGCCAGGCGGGTTTATGTTGTTAGCTTTCTTTTTTTTTTTTTTTTCAGGTGTCTTTTTTTTTTTTTTTTTTTCTTTTTTTTTTGGTTTTCAGTGAGTTGTCTTTTTTTTTTATTTATTAAAGATTTCTGTCTCTTCCCCACCGCCGCCTCCCCTTTCCCTCCCCCTCCCCCAATCAGGTCCCCCTCCCTCGTCAGCCCAAAGAGCAATCAGGGTTCCCTGCCCTATGGGAAGTCCAAGGACCACCCACCTCCATCCAGGTCTAGTAAGGTGAGCATCCAAACTGCCTAGGCTCCCACAAAGCCAATACGTGCAGTAGGAGCAAAAACCCATTGCCATTGTTCTTGAGGTCTCAGTAGTCCTCATTGTCCGCTATGTTCAGTGAGGCCGGTTTTAACCCAGGCTTTTTCAGACCCAGGCCAGCTGGCCTTGGTGAGTTCCCGATAGAACATCCCCATTGTCTCAGTGTGTGGGTGCACCCCTCGCGGTCCTGAGTTCCTTGCTCGTGCTCTCTCTCCTTCTGCTCCTGATTTGGACCTTGAGATTTCAGTCCGGTGCTCCAATGTGGGTCTCTGTCTCTCTCTCTCTGTCTCCTTTCATCGCCTGATGAAGGTTAATATTCAGGAGGATGCCTATATGTTTTTCTTTGGGTTCTCCTTCTTATTTTGTTGTTAGCTTTCTTACCACAGCTCAGGACCACCTGCCTAAGGTATGATACTACCTACAGTGGGCTGTACTCTCTGTATCAGTTAGCGATCAAGACAAGCCCCTGTGCTGGGGGAGATTTTCGGTGATGCAGTTGCCTTTGAGTCACTAAGGATGAAGTAGGTAGCCCCAATAGACTCACTGTTTCCCAAGTAGACTTGGGTGGAATAATCCCTTAGTCTGTTGTTGGTGTCCCATCTGTGGCAAAGAGTTGTTCACATCTCTCTAGAAGAATTCATGCAACATTTATCCTCTAAGAGGACAATTCTGTTTTCCAGATTCCTTTGACGAGGCCTCAGGCACAGCATGGGCCCCTCTCACCCTTCTCCTGAGCTCTTCCTCATACATCCTCTCAAGAATGTGAACCCCTGAACCCTGGGCACTGAGCCTCAGCCCCATCCAGCTGTGGCCCTAGGCCTGCCTCCCTAGGTCTGTTCCTCAACCTGATCACACAACTTAGCTAGGGCAGATTTGGCTAGGCTAGGCAGTGGGGCATGGCTTACTTTTGGAAGAGAGGGGTGGCTCAGACAGAGAGAGACACACTGGGCTGTTGCTGTTAAGGAGTGACTTTCACCGACCCCTAAGGAGGGAGAGACAGCCTGAATTCATGGTGCCCAGTGCCTTCTTGGTTGGCCTTGCAAGTCTTTGCAGATGGAGTCTCAAATCCAGGGCCGAGCAGTAAGGCGAGTGTTCTGTAAACTGGGCTCAGACCCTGTTCTCAAGAAGCGAGGGGCTAAAGGAAAAAGGAGACATGCTAAACTGTCACCTGGAGTGCCACTTGCTGTCCCTGGGACATGCTGTGGAGGCCCTTACACCCTCACTTCACTTCTTTCTGGGCGTGAGCACCCTGTCTTCACTGAAGGCAGGTGGACCAGAAGCCTTTGCGGATGGCACAATTAAAAGGAAAGGGGTAGGACAAGTGTTTTCCAGACCAAGATGGTCAAGGTGTCCTCTCATTAGAGAGTGGTCCAAAGAAACCCCGGCACTAGCTGGTCCTACCACTGGGATGCAGTCACCTGAGGCCATCGCTGAGGAAGCACCCCAAGGCAGTCGTCATTGCTGAAGCTTTGACCATCTGCATGCACTTTCTTTTTGTCCATTCACCTGTCTGCTTGTGCTTCTTTTTCACAAAGGAGGGCGCAGAAAGGGGTCTCTTCCAGGCTTTATTTAAAAAAACAAACAAAAAAAAAAAAAAAAACAAAAAAACAAAAAAACTTGGCCTTTGGTGGGACAGAGAGAAATCTGGGGATAATGGGGTGGTGTGGGGCAGACAGAACACAAGCAAGTGGCTGTGACTCTCAGAGCAAGTGCCTCTGTCTCCAGGCTGTGCTGTTCTGGGACTCAGATCCTAGACTTCCTGCCTCTCCATTGTTCTACTACTCCCCTCTCCTGGCAGCTAGCCCCAGGATGGGTCCCCTCTTGCCGCTCTGCTTATGAGTTGCAGGCTCCATGGTGCTTTTGCCTGAGTTTAGGACAAGGATGTTTCCATCTTTATTCAGGCTATATCCTGGCAAACAGCAGGCAGGCACTCGGTATTTGCTTAGGAAAATCTGCCAGTTTGGTAGGAAAGAGAAGAGAGCAAGAAAGAAGCAAGCACATGAGGCTCAGCTGTCCAGAAGGCCGTCAGCTCCAGGGGCTTTTGCCAGGCCACCATCATGCTGCCTGCATGGCTGCTGCTCTCCTTCTGCATGACAGGTAAGACCCCACCTAGGCCTGGAAGAGGGTGCACTGCTCCCCATACACCCCCAGAGGCCCTCAGACTTGTAGGTTGGTTGGGAGACAAAGTGGAAAGATATAAATGATTTTTATTTTAGCCATCATTTTAAGGTTGGGGAGGGAGATGCCCTTCCCCACCTCCACAAACTTCCATTGCAGAGAACTATGGCCAGGGCACCTCGAGGGTCTTTGGGTGGCTCTGAGGAGGGAAGGCATGGATTGAGTGGGAGAGAAGAGCACAAGAGGAAGCTGACCAGGTCCTTGGCAGCCAGCGGCTGGTGCATCATGCAGGCAGGGTTTGCTTCTTGGGCTGAGGCCAGGGCCAGGCATGGGATGGTACATGACCCTCTTAGAAGGACCCCTCACTGAGCATGGGGACTGGAACCATAAGAGTGTCATGGTGGCCCCCATGTAGAACCCTGTCACTGAGCACAAAATGTAGAGTACCCCAGCTGGAAGCTGGGTGACCCACAGCACCTGCAAAGGGTGACCATCTGGGCCCAAGTGGTAGGGGGCTCAGAGGGCACAGTTACAGGCAGAGAGTTCCAGAAGGCTTGCTGTAGTTGACAAGATTTGCCGTGAGATTGAATTCCAGGGACTAGAACAGGATGGCCCAATTGTGAGTCCAGGGTCTCAGCTCAAGGATGGAGCACTGCAAATTCTTGAGTCCTGGGCTTGTGGGTTCCACAGGACTGACAGGTTTTCCCCCCCAAACTGTTGGGTGTGATCCATTAGCTCCTGAAACCAACCTAGTGGGCCACAGCAAGAGAGCTTCAAAAATTAAATAAGGTAGCATTTAAAAGAATCAAAGTGAAACATATGAATCATATATTCTGTCAAAGTGAATAGAAAACAAGGTGTTTCCCCCCATTCTTTCTTGGGCACAGGGATTCTCCAGCTGTTCTCAGCGACAGACAGCTTCGTCAGCTCTGGTGGGTGCAACGACGACGTCATTCTTTCTGGCAAGTGCCCATCCTCCCTCCTTCCCTGCTCCGTCTTGCATGTTTGGCCCTCAGTATCCAGGCTTGAGGCTGGTTTTCTATGCACTCCCCAAAACCTCAACAGCAAGCCTTTCCCTCCCCACTGCTCTGCCCCGGCACCAGGGTGGAGAGCCTCGGACCAGCTCCTCCTTTGCTAGACCCTGGAAAGTGGTTGGAGCCAGGGAGGGAAAGAAGGGGTAAACACTGAGATATCAGAGTTTGGGTGGGTTCCTGCCTCTCACCTGTCTCTATCTCCCCGCTTTCCTTCAACACACGGAGCGCTTTTGGTACACCGAGGCGAGGGCTGAGGATACAGCGGCAAGTAAAACAAGCCCTGCCTCCCAAGCTGCCTAGACCTGGTGGAGACACACAAGCAGAGCAAGCCCTTTCCCTGGATGCATCTGGAGAATTCTGATGTTGGTCCCGGCAAGCATGTCCCTGCTCCGTGTTGGAGCACACCTGAACGGCTCTCTGGGTGATCCTAATGTACAATCCCCGTCAGACTTCCTTTTGTAGATATAGTGCTATGCTACGATTAAAGGTTTGGGCCTGGGAATCACACACCATGTTCTGGAGTCATGGCTCTCTCTACTTTCCGCTTAGTGGCCTTAGTCATCTATTCCACTCCCTGTGACTTGGAGTCCTTATCTGTAAAACAGATATGATGAAATCTTAAGTAGTCCTCAGAAAAATTCAGTGAGCTAAATGGCATACTACACATGCGCAGTCAACACTGATGGTTACTGTGAACCACCAGGCAAAGGAAAGAAGGTACAAGGGTGAAAGAACAGGAAGCCAGCATGGCCAGTTCTGAACCAAGACAGTAGCTCGTGGGTGGGATGGTCCAGAGGCAGCGCTGGGTATGAGTGGAGGTCAGAGGTGAGGGGTACGCCGGAAAAGGAGTGGTCTACCATGGTATGGCTGAAATCTCTTGGGGACAAGGGTGAAGTGGGGGTAGTCATGTAGTGATAGCTTCTCCTGCCCCAGCCTTCCAGCTGGTGAGCAACAGCAAGACCTTCTATCGGGTGGAGGAGCCGCAGACTTGGAAAGAGGCCATGTGGTACTGCCAGGAGCATTACACAGACCTCGCTGACCTGCAGAGTGTGAACAGCCCAGTGAACATCATGGTGGTCTACTCCTACACCAGCAGTACCCAGGCATGGATCGGCCTCTTCTACAATGTGCACATCTCTGGCCTGAGCTGGTCCAGTGGCTCCATCTTTACCACCCCAAAGTGGAGTGCACGGTCTGTCTTCCGGGATGGCCTCTGTGCTACTCTGTATGCATGGGCCATGGTCCCTGCCCCGGGGGCTGTCTCCTGCACAACTCAGAAGCCCTTCATTTGCTATTATGGTGTGTTCAGATTAATATTCTGGGCCTGCTCTTTTCCAAGATTGTTTCGGGGAGGGGGAAAGGAAGAGAAGACTGTGTGTGTCTAGGATGACATCCACGAGAGTAACCGGATGCTCCCTCACCCTCTTCGGAGCATTATTGCCTCTCTGTGACCTTAGTTGTGGTCTTTCTGTACTCTTTTCCCCAGAGCACACCAAGAAACTGTGTGTTAATAGAGGAAATAACATCGGGAATGTTCCATGACATCTCTTCTATCTTCAGTTAAAGCTTTGAGGAAGGAAGGAAATGGGAGAGGCAGGTTGGAGGGTTCATCACCTATGCAGAAATGGGAGTAGAATTCAAGGTCTCGCACCATGAAGCACAGGGTACAGTCTGTTGTCTTCCTGGGGTTGGCAGAGGGCAGAACATTCACCCCCATGAGACCTATTGCTCAAAGTAGTGGGTAGGACCAACTCCAGACATTGTTGCTGGGGACATGGCGCTGGCTGCTGGGGAACACCCAAACTATGTGTTCCCCTGTGCCGTCTGACCTCCTGGAGGCCACACCACTACTTCCATTGTCCTCATCTTTGTCTTGTTGGTGCTAAGAGGTCACATGGAAGTGTGGTTGTGGATAGGACTGTGATTTCCTGGTAAAAGTGCCATCTTCTGCCTTTCTTGGCCAGTCAAGGCTCAGCACAATTCTATGCCATCCCGATTGCCCAGATACTGGCATGGAGGTCATTCTCTCATTTCTCTAAGACATAGACACACCATGCTTCTGTGAAGCCCAGAAACAGAAGCCCACAACGGCCTTGGTTTTAACTATAGATTCCAAGGGGATAGAAAGATTTCTAGGGATGGCCAGTGGGTTTAATAGGAACACCTGCAAACATCAGAGCTGTGTATATGATGGATTTCTTCCTGCTTCCTTTATTCTTAGAACTCAACTACAGCGTTCCCTGACATCACTCAGTTCTCCCCAGTTCTTCAGGTTCATTGGGAGTGCATGGGCCAAATTACCACTCAGTTCCATGGGACTACCCTGTGGCCACTATCGCCTGTTGTCCGAACAGTGAGTTTTAGCAGACATCGGATAACTTCCTTACAGCATACTCAGCAGATCTTCAAAGCCCTTGGAATGCCATCCTTTTCATAGACAATCATGCCCTGTCGGTTCTTTTTGGCCTCAGTGCTCAGCCCTCTCTCTAGCCATGGTGTATTGACTTATTTCTGTTCCCCGGTCCGCACAACTCTTTTCTTCACTGGGATAGTGACCATTGTCCTCATACTGTTGGGACTAGGTGGTTCCTTCTCATTCTCCCCTAAAAAGCAAAGGCTCTGCTTGTGTTGTTTCTAGTACTTTCCCAGGGAACAGCACCAGTCATACAGTAGGTGCTTTATCTATATGCACTAAATAAGTATGGAATGGGCCAACTCACCTTAGAACTCGGCTTCTTTTGGCTCCAACCTGGTGGTTCCTGGACAGTTCTCACCCTCTAACCCATAGTTTGAAATTTGCTTCTGTTTTACAGACTCTGCTGTAGGACACGGCATGTCCTTAGTGTCCTCTCTTGGAGCACTGACTACTCTTCCAACAGAAGGTAACATACATGGCTTTGTCTGCCCTTTTCTGGGGTCTTGATTTATTTTGCCTTGGAGTTACCTCCCTGGACCAGCACGCAGGATGCAGATCACTATGGTTCCCTCTGTTCCCCTGTCCCCTACGTGACCTAATGTCTGGCTTTGGGGTACCCAGATTGAAACCTGGGGACTGATGGGTGCAATGTCTGAAGAGCACGGAGGGGAAGGGACTAGCTCCAGGACTCACAGTAGTGTAACCAGTTGTATCCGTGCCACCTGAGTCTTCCTCAGGGAGTCAGGGGTTGGGGGTGAGTGGGGAGGACCTCTTCACAACTCAGGTCCTTGCTCTCCGTCTAGAGAGGGGTATTTCTCTCAAGATTCCTGCCCCTTGGACAACACTGTGCTGGTGTTTAAAAGGAGTTTCTTCTTATCTGATATAGAAAAGTTCTATGGGAAAAGGAACAGTCAATCCATCTATGTTTAGGGTTCGTGCTCTGGGTGTTATAGAGCATAAAGCGAAATGGCAAAGGCTTCCAAGGCAAGCAGATCTGTGCTTTAGTCTCATCCTGACACTGAGTTTGGGCTGGACTAGCAAACTCCTTTCCCAAACTATGAAATAAGATTACTAATATTTTTTTTCAGGATACAAAGTGATGTAGGCCAAAGGTACATGTCAAAGCTGGCACACATTAGGGGCATAATATAGAATATTTTAAAAGATTAGTTTTGGGGCTGGTAAGATAACACAGTCAGTGGGTAAAGGTGCTTGCTGCCAAGCCCAATGACCTGAGTTCAAGCCCTGGGACACACACAATGAAGAGAGGACTGATTTCTGCAAGTTCTGATCTTCACATGTACGCTGTGTCACAGACAAGTGCACACGTGTGCATATACACAATAATTAAATATGCAAAAATCCATTTAGCTAGGGAAACAGGCATATCTTAATGAACTGAGGTGAGCAGGTGCATGGCAGAGAGTAGGGAGGGGCTCTGGTTTGAATGGGTTTGAATGGGAGGATATGACTCCAGACTCTGCAAACAGTCTTTTCTTTATCCAAACCCCCAGGACCAATGCAGGTAGAGCTGCAGTGCCTCACATCCTTTCCAAAACTTCATTCGTTAGGAATCAGAGAGGCATGGCCCTGAAGGGGCCTCTGGTGTGTGTGTGTGTGTGTGTGTGTGTGTGTGTGTGTGTGTGTGTGTGTGTGTGAGGGGGTGCCTCTGAGACCTGAAGCAGCCCAGTCTGAAGAAGGTAGATATCTGAGTGCATGAGGAGCAGATCTGCTGGGCACTGCCTGCTCTGCTTCCTGCCCACCAGATAGATCTGAGCAGATGTGATTGGCTCCTAGATATCTCTCTCTCTCTCTCTCTCTCTCTCTCTCTCTCTCTCTCTCTCTCTCTCTCTCTCTCTCTCTCTCTCTCTCTCTCTCGTGTGTGTGTTGGATCACAAATGAAGAAATGAGGCTAACTCTAAACCAGGACTGTCTTACTTCCATCACTGAAATGATCTACTACTATTTCCCAACTAGTGCCTACCATTTGATTAAGTGCTAATAAGTGGCTTATGTAATTCTGACCTTAGTATAATTATTCCTAGTGGACAGATGAAGCAATTGAAACTTAAACTTACCTTTTAAGATTACACATCTGTAAGAAGAGCCTTTTCCTTAATGAATCCTCCACACCAGCTGTTGCCACTATGATATCTCACTCATTCTTCAACTTGGTAGTTTCTCTATAAAATGGTGTTTTTAACAAAATCTAAAACCTGAGGATCCAGGTCAAACCAGTTCTTTCCTTAGGCAACGAAAGCTGGGATGTCAGACACCCTAGATCTCAGGCCTGTGGTCTCTATATGCTTTGCTTCCAGCTGAGGTCGAGATTGGTGGATGGACCTTCATTCGGATTAAACAAGCCATGTCGTGGCCCTCAGCTCTGACCTACTGTCGTAACCACTACACAGACCTGGCCGATCTGCAGAGAGTGACCGACGAGAAGGACAAAGAAATCCTCCAGTCCATCACAAGCAATGTTGATGCCTGGATTGGCCTCTACTTCAGTGCAAAGATCAACAGTCTCACCTGGTCCAGCGACTTGGGGTCTAGCATTCCCGAGTGGCTTCAGAAAATACCTTTGTTTGGTCAAGGACTGTGTGCAGGACTCCGTGTCTTTCTGAACGGCCCCCCTGAGATTTATGCACTACTTTGCCATGAGCAGAAACCTTTTATCTGTTTCTGTGGTATGTGAGAGCCCACGTGGATCACTGAGGTTAAAATGTGTTCATTAAACAGTGGGGAAAACTCAGGAGAGTCCTAAGGAAGCACCTGGAGGCTCTGAGGGCAACAGAATTCTACAACAGGCTTTGATTTGATTTAAAACAAAAACAACAACAAAAAACAAAACAAAACAACACCTTATAAAGGAGTTGTAGTATTTAAATCCTGGGGATCTTCAGAGGATGGAATGAACGAACCCCATCCAGCCTTATTACATTAGCAATGAGCAACAACAATTAATCAGACAAATAACCATGAGCCCATGATTTAGAATCAGATAGACTTCACTGCTTCCTAGAAGATGGGCAGATCTAGTCCCCTCTTCTTATCTGAAAAGCATACTTTACAAATCAGGATTGGGGAAATCACCCCATAGCTGAAGGCTGAATGACAGCGAAGATCTTGACATAGAGCAAGTGCCTGCTAATAGCAGCTCTGGTCGCTATGAATTTGAGGGCAGCAGGGGCATTCTGGATCTTGTATATAATGTGCTCCTACCTTATTCTTTGCTTTCATTCTCCCTCCTTCTGCTGTATTTCTATTGCTGAGAACCACATATCTTAACTTTTGAAGTGCACAATTCAGTGGTTTTTTTACATTTGCATGCATGCTCAGCCATTGCCTCTGGCCAATTTAATGACATTGTCATCACCGTCCAAAGTTCCTACTTACAGTCACACCCGACTTTCCCCTTGGCAACCCAAATAGACTTTATGTCTCTGTGGACTTGCCTATTTGTGGCTGTTGCTTTTTGTTTTGGATTTGAAGACAATCTTGGCCCATGTCTGTGAACTAGGTATTCCTTGATGAGCTGCTGTGAAGATTCAGGGTGAGAGGACCTATCCCAGTGATTTGTACAGTGTGCAGTAGGAACTGGACCCCCTGGTTTGTTTGCTGGGATGAGGCTGACTGGCAGGATCTATTGACTTCTCACAGGGTTGGTGTGACAGAGACTGCCCTTACATTCATTGTTTTCCCACAGACCCCTCCATTGGCCATCGGAAGTTGGCAGAGATGCCTCTACTCACTGCTACGTCCTCCCCCAAAGAGACTCACCCCTCAGAAGTTACTGCAAGGACAACCCCTAGGCTAAACACAGGTACTCTGCATCTGTTCTCAGCTGTATCTGAGCTCTTCTGGGCCTAGGAAACTAGAGAAAATGGTTGGTTTAAACAGAGCAACCCAGGGCGGAGCCCATGCGAGTGGCCTTCCCTGAGGTGCTAGTGAGCAAACAGAGAAGAGGTATGCCAATGGTGTGCACTCAGTCACTACCTACACCAATGAGCATCTCTGCTCCTTCTCCTCATACTGCTTGGCTAACAGTGGGGGTAGGGAAATGAGAAATTAGTTTCCCACAAACATCCTTCTTTGTTGGCTTCTGAGTTTGAAGTTCTAGAGGCCAGGAGGGCCAGGAGAAGCTGAAATAAAGGCCTGGGACACAAAAGGACAGATGGCTGAGTAGTACTCCTTGGGAAGTCACCAGAGAGTCCTTAGAGGTTCAGCACCCAGAGAAAGGAAGCAAAACAAAGGAGACCCACCAGTCCCTTCTGAGCATGCTCCTCTGCTGGGAGAGTCATGAGCTGTTAGGGTTTTGTGATGTGGTTTTAAGTTATGGCAGTTGATCAAGACCCAACAGTGGGGACAGATACAATCAAGAAAACCTCAGAGCTCATTCTGATGGCGCTCACAGCCAGCCAGGCAAAGCTTGGTGTTTAGTATAGTCTGAAGCATGCCGGGGACACAGAGCAGGAGCTATCCAGTCACTGTAACTGCAGAACTTTTGGTGGAGTGACTTCAGAAGGACGAGGTTGGCAGGTGGCTGGGTAGGGGATGGTAGGAAAGAGGAATGGCAGGGTGTTTGTGTGGAAATGTTATCACTGGGGAGCTGGGGAAGGCATGGATTCTCTCAGCTAAGAATCTGGGCTGAGAAACTGCCTTGTTTCCCTGTTAAGGCATCCACCTAGTTGATTCAGCCCACTGCTTACTTGGGTTGGTCCAAATAGGTTCAGTAGGCCCTTTCTGACAACTCTGTCTTCAGTGGATGAATACCACTATGTGTGGCAGAAAACTGGGGCCTGAAGCTGTTATATTCTCTCTGATCTTCCCCACTGAAATTACTGGGAGTTCCTGACCTGTGGCTAGGGCCTTGAAAAAGGTTCTGTGCCCAGTGCACCTCACCTACGTCTTGTCTCTTGCCATAGGGACCAGCACTGGCCCCATAGGTGCCTCCCAAGAGATGGTTCCAGCAACCTGGACCCCTCGGCAAGTGACTCATCAACCAACTGATGTCAGCTCTGGCACCTGTGATACTACCACTCCTGCCCCCACCACCATGGGCCTCACAGCTTTCCATTCTCAAGGGACGGTCTCAATAAGTCCTCTGACAACCCCGACACCTTCAGGAGGTACCTTGGTTTGAGAAGGGCTCATAGCCCATGGTTACTGTTCAGAGCTTGTCTTTGGACCCTGAGCACCCAGGAGGCAGTTTGGATCTAGGAGAAGGGCCCAGCATACCACTGCTAACTTCTCAGGGCTTGTCCTTGGACCTTGGGAAGTAACTTAGTTCTGGAAGAAAAGTCCAGGACATCACTGGTCACTGTTAGAACCACATCCTGGGATCTCATATCCCCAGACAGTATTTCAGTTCTTGGGGAAGGGGCCCAGGGCTGTTGCTCAATGTTTATCTTTGGATTTTGCACCCTGACACTAGCCCATAGAGGGAGTGAATCAGTTCAACAGGAAGTGGCCTAGGCCCCCCAGTGACACTGCAGGACCTATGCACCAGGGGTCCCTAGAACCAGAGTAGGCTCATGACTACAGGGGAGGTAACCACAAGGCCCTGGCTATTCCCACGTTGGCAATATTCTCTGACTCCTCCTCATTCAGTTAGCCCTGCAGTTCAGGGGCTCTGTGGAGCTTTGCAGAGATTAAAGAGCTATGGAGACATCTGTCTCAGGGAGCTCAGTAGAGATTCAAAGAGACAGGCCCCATGCATCTGCAGCCTGAGCCAGTTTGCCAGCACTTGAGACAGCTGGGTGTCTGCCAGGAACTACAGCAGGTGCTTGTGTGCCTCACTGAGACCAGACACCCCCGCCTACAAGTTCCTCTGGGGCATCAGCAGCTAGACACCAAGCTGCAGAGTCTACACGGAGAGCTGGGTGCAAGAGTCACATGGCTACGCAAGGAAGCATGTAAGCCTCTCCACAGGGAATTCTGTCTGGCCAGCACCAGCTCATAAGACCATCCTCCCTTAACCAGGTAGAATGGAGAGAGGGTAAGGGAGGAAGATTTAGGAGAATCCACCTTTAAGAGCTGAAGTCTGTCAGTCAAGATGAGAATATTTGCTCTGTAATTTACTGTGCACAGGCTTAGACAACTTTTTCCTTCCTCCCTCCCTCTTGGCTCCCCTTCTCTTTCAAAAACAGGTCTCACTTTGTAGTTCAGGCTGCCCTCCAATACACTGCAATCCTTCTGTCTCAACCTCTAAACTACTGGAACCGCAGAAATGAACTACCACATCTGTCTCCCTAACTTTAACCTCATTGAATCTAGTTTGTCTTATGTCTAAAACCAAGAATACATCAGTGTGATTTCCTAACTCTCAGTTCCTGATTCTGGCAGATGATAAATGTAGTTATTACCATCTTAATATCAACTCACTAGTGACATTGAGTATCTTTACCTTGGTAGACATGCAAGGCTCATACTCATGTAACACACACAGATGATACACAATCAGTTGTGAGTATTGCAGACTCTTCCAGAGAGAGGTTGTTGTATTTCCTTTTCTCCTTGCTTTGAGCCCTGTCTTTCGAGTACCAGACGTGAACTCTGGATACTGTGTGGCTCAAGCAGGTGAGCAGAACTTGCTTTTAGACAAAGGCAATCCTGTAGGGGCAGAATCAGACAACTGGGGTAGCTTGTGAGTATGTGAAGGGTGAAGCAAGAGCAGAAAGTGACTCATTCTCTGGACAAAGGTGTAATGAGTATCATGGCAGTGGTATCTGGAAGTTCTTCCTTGCTGAAAGACAAGGGCTCAGACAGACATGTCGAAGTGTTAAGTTTGTCTGGGATTGCCAAGAGATCTGATGTGGTTAGTGCACAGGTTACATTTTGGAGGAAGGAGTAACAGGGAAGAGGAAAAAGAGGGACGGCCACCAAATTCTGAAGGACTCGAACCCGCAGTCAACAGGACCAACAGAAGGTTTCGGAAATGAGCAAGTGCTCGGGTCTGTAGTTACTACAGGTGGCCACAGTGACATGGGGCCATTGCATTCGGATGCTAAAAGAAAACAGCAGAATTCAGTATATGTGTAACAAGTCTCAACAGCGAGAGAAGCAGTGAGGGTTAAAAACAATCAGGATGAAATTTACAAAGCTACTTACCCCCCCCCCCCCCCCCGCGCTTCTGTGTTTCTGAGTTTTACCAGTTTCTTCACTTACTAAACAAAGACATAAGCTTTTGGATGAAGAAAAGTGGGCTGGTGGAGAAGAAGGCCCACCAGGAGAGAACAGGCTGGGTGAGTAGCTGAGGCAGGGTGAAGCGAGGAGGGACATGAAGACAATAGTTGTCATAAATGACGTTAGTCAAGAAACACCAACACATTTAAACAACTTTCGGCTTTGTTCATGAAAGCACAGAAATAAATCCAGCTTTAAAAACTAACAAGTTTTATTTTAAAATTTATTTCTTCACCTCACAAGAGCCTGGCAAAGATTTAAAGGCAGCAATAAAGGGAATGCAGACGAACAGACATGACCAATACTGTAGGCTGTAAACTGGTGCAGGCAGGGTGGGTCTGTTTCAAAATGGGCATGTCCTTTCCTACTGACATTCTACACTTAGAAACTGCTAAAGCTTACAAGGCAAACAGGCACACATGGACCCCCAACACTGTTTATTGTCCTGAAAATGAGAAGTGATCTAAGGTCTACCAACAGACTGCTTAAGTCAGTCACGTCACATTTGATGAAATCACATTCTTTTTAAGAACAAGGTAGATTTTGCATTTAAAATAAAAAAATTCAATCTGTGAAATATATACTCTAGCAAACTGTTATTGTTGGCTTTCCCTAGGGCTGGGGCATCTTTCTTACATTATAGTAGTAGACCTCTAAGTAGTATGATTATATCCATATTTGGAGGTTGGCAATTGTGAGAGAAGGAGAAACACATTTGGGGACTGAAGGTGACAGCAACTGAGGACTCCTGGTCTTTGGCTGGAATGCCTAGTGTATGCCCAGAAGTTAAGCTTGGTTTGGGGTACTACCTTGGTAGGGATGTCAAAGCGGCTCTGGGCACTTTGGGGAGGGGCTGAAGCTCACCTGGTAATGTTAGAGTGCTGGGTTTTCTCAGTGCTAATGAAAAGAACGGATCAGGAACTGAGGCCGGATCTCATGCTATTGCTCAAGCCTCGCACAGCCTGATGCTGGAGCACTTTCTGAATGGTAGGCTAGCAACTCCAGACATGGAGTAAGAGCCTGGGAGACAAGTAAAGGACTGGCAGGAGCAAGGTACTGTGCACAGCAGGGCTGCCTTCCCTGTCTTCTGGCTCACAGCCCAGCACCAGTATCCAGGCACTAATATCCAGGTACCAGTATCCAGGCACTAATATCCAGGTACCAGTATCCAGGCACCAGTATCCAGGCACCCTTGATTTCCAGCTGCATGTGCAGTAACTCCTTCTTCCTTTCCTGTAGCTGTGACCAGTACAGAGCATGGTACACATATAGGAGACACACCTACTACCACCCAGGCCCAACGTGTCAGCTCACCTAAGCACCCAGGGACTACAGAGGCAGTCAGCTCACCTAAGCACCCAGAGACTACAGAGGCAGCAGTAGCAACAACAGAAGGCTCAGGTAACAGCTTCTGTTTGCTAACTTCACTATCTAACAGCCCAGGGCCTAAAAATCTACAGTCACTCCTCGCCCAGGATACCTGGGCGCCTTCTTAGGAACGATAACATGAAATGCTGGCATTGGGGAAGGGAAGGAAGCTGTGGGTTCCAGTGTAAGCCGTGTAACTACTTTGAGTGCAGTGAGGGAAGCAAGTGTCCTCGGTTCTGTAGTTGTTCTCATCTTCAAAAGGAACTCAGTAAAGACGGCCCTATCTCATAGGGTTGCTGTGAGCATGTGTACAAGGTACTTAGGCAAAGGAGCACTGTAAGTAGTCAAAAGCTCTGCCAATGCATGTCCTACCACGGGGCTGTAGTTCTCATGATCATTATGGTTGACATGCAGAAAGACTGAACTTATCTATTAGTTCAGAGAACTTCTTTGGGGGTTTTCTGGTTTGGGAGTCCAAGGTGGTGACATTTCAGCATAGTTGTACAGTAGATTTATAAAAAGGGCACAGAGATCACAGGAGAAATGGTGTCCAGGCTGTGGGGAGAAAGCTGATACTGACCTAAAACATAGGGGTTTCTTTTGGGGTACTGGCTGGTGGTGTTAATTGTGGCTCAGCTCTTTCCCTCTTTTTCTCTTTGAAATCCTCTGTCACCACATAGCATACCTATGGTATCCACCTTAGGGTAACTCTACCTTCCAAGGACTGGAAGGTTTAAGGGGTGACATTCTTCTAAGTCAGGAAACGTTTTCTTTTCCAGAGCACTCCTTTGGAATCCTGAAAGCAGATTTTACCATCTCAACAGTGAAGGATCCAGAAGAGATGAAAGATCAACTTTTGAGTGAGGTTAGATGTCTAACTTTTTCAATATTGATGATTCAGGTGACAGTAATGCAAAGCAGTATTGTCAAACCTAATATATTAAAGCTGGGGCTGAGGAGATGTCTCAGTTGGTGAAGTGCCTGTATGTTCTGTATGAAATTTCAGCAAACTGGCTCTCAGTTGGTACTGGATGTTAGCTACTATTATCACTACAATAAACTGATTACTGAACATAGTCTGATAAAACATTTCTCAAGGGCTAAAGCCATCCCTAGATATGTATCTATCAGAAATCATAACTTTACAGATAAGAAGACACATTGGCATTTATTTAGCAGCTCTTGGCCACTTATTCAAAGGCCCAAAGGCAATCCATTTTAGAATTTCACAGAATCAAGTTTCTAGAAAGACCACTAGCGTTGTATGGCCCTGCAAAGGACACGTAAGAAAATAATTTTGAGTTTTCTATTTTTTGTTTACTGCTTAAGGTTAGAGGTATTTTCTTTGGTCCAGGCCTGGGCCTTTATGTGCTTTCTGGAGGTGTAGTAATAGAAACTTCTCATACTAAACTACAAGCATCTATCTTATGCATTAAACTGGAGCCAGTGAGAAAACTGGGCTTATACTGCTAAGTCCCACCTTTTACTTAGCTTCGTCAGAATGTATCTGCTTCATTAAGTCAGATGGACCTGAGGCCTTGGGTTTGGTCTCTCACGCTATGAAAAAGAAAACCAAAAGAAAACAAAGGAAAAGGAACTTTAGGGAATGAGCATGCCACAGTTTCTATCTCACTAAGAGGAATGCAGTTGATAATAACAAGGTATGTGTGGGGTTTATTTAAAATTACAAGTATGAAGGAAGAAAATACCTGCAGCTAACTCATCCAAACCTCAGAACCACTGATAAAAGACATGTTATAGATACCACACACACTGTTCAGAGGGCAATATGGAGTAATGGAACTCATGCGGCAGCCATCCATCTCTGTGTGCATGTGTGCACATGTGTGTATGTATGATACATGTATATACATGTTTATGTGTGTATTTAAATTTACCCAATGAGTCTGATGCTCAGTAAAGATCGGGAGCACTTAGTAATTTGGTGTTACTGATAAGATGCACACAGGTGAAGGAAGGCTAAGAAACAGGATGGATGCACAAAACGTGCGTGTTAGTGATTTAGGGCTAAGCTAAGGGTCATAATGCAGCATCGGTCGTCTCTCCTTTTCCTTTCATGGTGCTAGGTAGGAACTGATCCCACTGAACGGTATCGCTACCCTACTTCTCTCTTTTTAATATTTCAGATCCAAGAAGCCTTAAAGCTTGTATTAGGTCACGAGGAATTCACATTGAAATGGGTCGGCTACGAAGTAAACAAAAAATAGCAAATATCCGCTAATTCTCACTTTCCTTTTAAAGTAGTAGTTCAGGTTGTCTTTAGTTTTGTTTTGTTTTGAATTCCTAGACACACAAGATTAGAAATAACCTGAAGGACACACAGAAGAAAATGACATGTGAAACCTGCATTCTTGGGTTTTACAGACTGAGATAGATAAACTGAAGATAGCACACCTGGAGAATGATAAACAAAGGCAGCTCCCTAACCCAACAAGAAAAACCCTAAGAACAAGCTGTGTAGGGAATATGAGAGGACCATGGAGGCGCAGGACAGTTGGAGGAAGTTTTCTTTCCAAGGATGTTAACATAACACAACCGACACCAGTGCCGGTTGTCCATCCTACTCATAAATATTTTACCTGAAACTTGTAAAATTTTAAGGCATGCTAATCCTAATGCTAAAATGTATCTTCAGAATAGTATCCCAGTGTTCCAAGTGTCCTAAATGCCTAGCAGAGAAGTTAGAAGGTAGCACACAACACAGATGCATGTATGATAGAAGCAGTACTGTAAATACAGTAGCAACTTTAGTCTGAAATGTTTAAAGTTAAAGTTTATTTGTATTTTTTGTAGGAATATCAATAAAAGACCTCAAACGTATCTATATCTGTACATGTACAAGAACTGTCAAAAATTATTCACAGAACAAAAATAAATCTTTTTTAGAACCCAGGTAATGAAATGCAGATATGGATCACATATGGAACAATCTAAGTGCTACAAAGCACAAAAATATGGCTTTAAAAATAAAATAAAATCTTGGGTTTTGTTTTTCTAAGGTGAATTTCTTTCTTGAAATAAAAAATAAATTATTTTGAACTATCTTTGTAAAATAGTCATGTGTATTAACACACTCTTATTAAGGCCCTGGAGATGAAAAACAAAATCAAATTTGGAAGATAAATTCCTCACAGGTATGACCCAGGTAATTATGCTGCTGTCTGCTTGAGCTGACCCTAATAGAGCTAGAAATATCTAAGCACCAGTCACAATTCAACCTTTACTACTTATTTTAGCTTTTTTGCAGGATAGTGGTCATAGAGTTAATTAGCATTTAACCTTTTAGTGAACTGGAAGTTGAAAATTTCCTTGAGGGTTTGAAAATGACATATCCATGCTATTTATATTCAAATGCTTGACCACACACAGAGGATGGGGACCCCTAAAACACAGCTATGGAAATGCCACCACACCAACAGTTCAGTCTGGTTTTCAGTTCTAAGACTTCCTAAGGAACAATGAAGGCATTTGATAAAAAAACAGAGTAGGAAATTAAAATGTGTGTTGAAACACGGGGTCAAAGCACTCCTGACCTCTCCGTGGGTGGCTTGCTGCATTGACCAAGGCTAGCTGGGCTGCTGCTCAAACACCTGAGCATGAACTGGTGAGGAACCAAAGCTACTTTCTGTATTCTGCTCTTGGATGGTGACAGTCATCTGCTGCTCCATATTCTCTTTGCTACCAATAATGATACCTTGCTCAAGTCACTTTAACTTATATATACATATAACACATATAGTACATTTTAAAGAGAATATAATTTTATAAAATCTAAAAAACAACAAAACAAAAACAAAACCTGAAGGAAGTTTGGGAACTAGTAGTTTATAAAGTGGATAAACATTTTTTAAGGGATGCCTTAGAGCTGTGTGTGCCTGTAGGCATGCACAGGTTGTCTCAGGAGCTGCCTTTCCAAATACACATCTTAGGAGGAGCCAGGGGATACAACTCTACTTGCTTCTTTGAATTTCTGAGGAACCAAGTTCACTGGATCGCGTGTCTTCCTCAGGACTTTTCTGAAAGAAATGCACTCTCTCTCTCATGCAAATTCCATCACCCTCATCCTTTCAAAGCTCCAGAGCTTTCCTAGATGGGTCGGTGACAAGAGGGTGCTCTATAAGAACTGATAACAATTATTCAAACATAAAAAACCGTGTACTTAAAAAATTTGAAATTTCAACATTACTTGCTTTTAAGAAACAAGTGTAAGTTCTTTAAGTTAATAATAATTTTAAAAGGTATCCTAGGTATGGGGTGGGAAGGTGACTTTTTACTGCTAAGGCAAAAAGGAGAATTCACTTGAAAAAGCCAAGGGGTATAGAGCAGAATGTCCCCTGAAGTTGTTTAATCTGTAACAGAAGGTGACTCCCTGCCCCCAAGTGGCTGAAAATGAAGAAAAACTGTGGCATGGACTCTGGAGCTGCTGAGTTTGCCAGTGACATGGCTAGTCTATGGTCCAGCCTGGAGATCAGTCAGTCTGGTGACTGAGGATCCTGAGAAGACTGCTTCTCCTGGCTCAGTTTCTTAACAGTTCTCAGCAACTGTATCTGGGAGGAACCAGACCTAATGTGGATGGAAGCAGAACAAACACTAATGCAAACCCATTTGATGGTAAGTGTCCTCTAGAACTTCAAACAAAACCCCTACTCCTAAACTGCCTTATCTGAGGACACAGAGGGAGGCAGGGCTCTGGAGAGCTGACATTCCATACAAGAGCCATGGATACAGTAAGAACAGGGAAACTACTTCTGAGATCATGCTCGGCCCCAGTGCACACACTTGATGTTTACAACTGTCTTAGAAACCCTCACCGTTTCTTCACTCTGCAACCCCATAACAGAGGACAGGAGCAGACCAATTCTGACCAACTTGATGGTAGGCAAAAAGACAAGAACAGCCATGGTAGCACAATTACCTCAGTTTCCATACCAAGTAAAAGACTACCAGACCCAAGCAGCAACAAGGACAGACACTGAAGTAACACTAGTCTTATGGAAATAGGACTTTTTGCAATTCTGGAAAAGTCTGGAAATCTTATTCCTCTAGTGATATAGGAGGGAAACAGGAAGCCCCTTTCCTGATCCTAGTAAGGCTGTCCTTGTTAATGGTAAAGTCTTGTCCTCTCCTGAATAAAAGCTACATAAGCACTTAGCCTGAATACCAAACCCTATCCAACCCTGGACTATTCTCATAATGTATGTGCTGACGTGTTGACAAAAACAGGGATCGTAAGATGCAGCTACTTAACCCATCAGCTTTTTAAAAACCTCACACTTCCTCCCAGTAAAACAAAGTGATGTACCTATTTAATTAAAGAAACACCATGTAAATTAGTACCTGCTGCTGTCTTCTATTCTCAAAAAATTCAAAATAAACTTGATAAGATTGCAACATTCTCTAAAGAAATATTAAATATACATATATTAGCATTTTGAGACAGGGTCTGAAGTAACTCAGGTTGGCCAGGAAACTTCTGTTCCTCCTGCTCCCACTCCTGGAGTGCTGGGATTGCAGGCCTGTGTGCCACCAACCTAGTTCATGTGGTGCTGGAGTTTGAACACAGGGCCCCTGGCATGCTAGGCTGGCACTCTGCCAATGGAGCTATGCCCCAGCTCAGAATAATATTTCTGATAGGCTAAAAAGATGAGTAGGCTCAAAGGATAATCTGAGATTTAGTATCTGGCAACAATGCTGTACTTCCGACCTCTAATCCTCTTACTATTGCTGTGATCGTCCTTCTTTCTCTTCAGTGATGATAACACGGTGGCTGGAGGGTCTCATCATGTGTCTAACGGTTCTGCGATTCAGTCTTGCAATGCATTCAGACCCCACAGTGCTAACAGTTACAGTGTTTTCATCACTACACTTATTTGAGCAGCTCTGTAACCCATAACCAGCACCTTGAGACCTTCTCAACCTCAAACAAGACATTACCATATCATATACTTCAGGCCGTTGAGACTAAGAATTGACTAGGTTCTCTGTGGTACTTTTGAAGGGTTCTGAAGAGTAAAGAAAACATTGCTAAGCTACAAACAAGAAGAGATCTATGCTTACATTCCCACTTCGCTCAATACAGGTCATTACTGCAAAATCAAAACGCTTTTCTCTTATGAAGTAATTTTTAACACACTGCCTCAGCTTGGAGAGAAGATAAGGCGTCATAAAATAGCTGTTAAGGGTCAAGAAAACACTCAAGTGGATATGAAGGCCTGCAGTGAGATGCTCCTGTTTTAGACGTTTGTCTGACACAAACAGGTAATTAGGAGGAACCCCTTTTGAAACGTAGTCGATTGAGGGCTCTGGTGAGGGTGCTGAAATGTAAGGTCAGACATAAAGGCCAACCTAAGGGTCAAGTGAGACTTGGAATGCATGCCTAGGACTTGGCGGAATATATGCCTGGGCTTCGAACAAGAGAACATGTTCTCTTGTTTTCTTATAAATATTCTACTATGTAGAAACACATACTCCATGCATATGGCTCTGTTATGTCTCCCTCTGCATCCTTTACTTAAAAAAATTCTTAAAGTTTATAACTTAAAAAAAAAAACAAAACATTAACTTATTTGAGAAATGCTGTTTTTTTTCAATGTAAAATAATGTAGCACTTGTTTAAAGAGATTCAAGACCCTTTTTAAACATTATCTCTGTATATCTGACAGCATAAAAGGTATGAACATTTTTGATGTGCACATTGTATGTACATATGTGTGAATATATGTATATATACTTATATATATAATATTTGTTTAACCTGCAGCTAACTTTTTCTACCTCTGGTAATTAAGCCTGCATTCCAGATGATGTGTCACACTTTGGAGAGAAACATGGATTTTCTGTCCTGTATTAAAGCCATTAAAGATAAGCTGGGTTATTCTTGCTGAGTCTACCACAAGTGTGGAATAACACCTGGAATGTGCATCCTCACATTCTGTTTTTTTTTTGTAGCAAGATTAATTATCATTTTGAAAAGAAAGACAAATTTCAGTTTTAGATTTCCTTCCCAAATTTTATGGAAGGGATAAATAGAAAGAAGCAGCAATTTAAAAGTGGTGATAAAATCCCACAGATCTGTTAGTATGGTGGATACAATCTTTATCCTAAGCAAAAATACGACAAATAGGAAGAAAAATTGTAGTGGGAAATATTCAGAGATTCCTGCTCTGCTGTATTAGCCCTTTTCTGTGTGAAAGAAAGGGTATTTATTCAGATGGCTTATGAACGGCATACTTGAATAACCTCTCCAGTGGAGAGTAAACCCTGTTGGTGCTGGCTGCTCCCGGCATGGGGAGGCAAGGGCAGCGCACATGTGAAAATGAAGATGTAGAAAGAGACACAAATATTTATAGTTCTGTCCACTCTAAAGAGTAGTAAAAACAAAATGTAGGAGTAAAAAAAATCAAAAAGTCCCATATCTAAAACAGAAAATTCCCATCTGTTATAGATGGAGGAAACAAACACACTGACAGGAGTTCAACAGAAATCATTTCTAATTCAGTTAGAATCAACCACTTCTAGCCATGTCCTCTGAAATGGCGACTCTATAAATCTGATTACTGTCTGATCGGAACCATCTTGGTTGATCAGTAGCATACATTACTGTTTTGTATGGATCTTGGTATTTGCATGTCTTCCTAATGGTAAGGGACTAGGGTGGGGCTTTTAAACCGGCAGATGAATCCCTGAAAAAAATCATTTTGACAAAGTCCTATTGCACTCCATGTGCTCCTAATCCAATACACAGAGCCTCTACTACTAAACCGACAGGCTCATTTCTCACTCGCACTTGGTTCCTACTTTTCCTCCACTAAAAACTGCAGTGCTTTCAAGAGAAAAACAATAATAAAATAGTAATAATTAAAAAG